CACTTCCCTTGTGGGTGTATATCAGGATCTAGAATATAGTTAGAAATGATATGGCTTAGGAAAATGGTGGCCTGCCATTTTTTTTTTTAACCTTAATTCTGTAATCTAGTCCATAAGGAAGATCCGCAAAGGACTCTGACAACAGAGAAAGAGTGTACCAAGAAGGAATAGAAGCCCCAGCCCTAGGGGCAGCTGTACCTACGAGTGGGCCCTGCAGGGTATTTCTTCCCCACTCAGGGTCCCCCCCACACACATACACACTGCAGAGGAGCTGCTACTCAGAAAGGCCAGCAAAGGCAAAGGCGGCGTTGAAGCAAGCCCACACAGTGCCTGAAAACCTGAAGACCAGCTATCTGACCAAGTCCTGAAGATGCCAATTCAATGGCGTTAGAAAGAGTTTGGAAAATATTATGTCCATAAAATCAAACAACAAAAAGAAGACCTGAAGAATGAGGAGGTGGGGGGGGGGGAATTATCAGTGGAAATTAAAAGCATGTCTCATCAGGTCCAGAAAAACTAGGGACACCCGGTTAACTGTGGTGCCTATTAGCATACCAAAGTGCATGCTGGCCTCCGGGCTCTCTCACCATCACAAATTTCGGTTACAGAGGCCATGTTGCCAGGCTGCCATCCTGAATCTTCTCACCCTGCCCCCTCCCTACCCTTCGCTTCTCCAGCTCCTAGACTTCCTTTCCCCCAGCTTCTCATTCCTATATAATCCTGCCACTTTGGCCATGTGCTCCCTTGGCCCCCCTCTCTCCTGGTCCTCTCTTATCTTCCTCGGTTTCTCTTCCTCTCTCACTCTTCCCCCGCCCCCACCCCGCCCCCACCCCATGGCCATGTTTAGTCTCCTCCTTTCTCTCCCTGCTCTGGACTCTTTCACATGCCCTTCGGCTGTTCTCTCCCTCAGATCTACAATAAAAACCTCCCCCTCGGCCACAGGTCATGTCCTCACTTTATACGTCTGTGACTGAAACCCCCCCCCCCCCACACACACACACTTTCTACATCGGGTGCAGGGGCATCTGGAAGAGTCCAGAGCAGAGAGAGAATGTAGGAGACTGAACATGCCTGAGGAAAACACTGAATTGTTAGCTAGGTGGAAAATAAAAGAGAGACATAAAAGTCATGTTCATTGTTTGGGAAATTATACCTGAGTGTGGACCAGCAGGACAAAGACATGGGAGACATAGACTAACAATGGAGCGACAACTTGATACACGAATTTGAAGTTGAAAATATCTTCAGGTGAAGATGTATTTAGTACATCCCACCTACTATACGAGTCAGCTTCCTGTTACTGTGACAGAACACTGGAGGTAATGAGGTTAAAGGGGAAAGCAGGTATTTGGGCTCAGAGATCAGAGCCTTCATTGCATGGCCTTCTTATTCTGGGGACCTGTGGGAGTGCCATGTACACGCGACGCATGGCAGAGGAGACTTGTTTATCTCTGGTGTGCGGAAAGCAAACAGAAGCACGGGAGGGGCGGGCCCTTCAAAAGCCAGCTTCCGGTGACCTGAAGGTTCCCACGCTAATAGTGTTACAGACTGACATCCAAGCCTTCAACACATGGGCCTGGAGGGACATTCAAGACCACAGTGTCCAAGCACAACAGTTTATTATGGAGAATTGGCTGTTTTCACACTCATCCCCCGCTGGCCGGCTGGGACCTGGAGCTCACTGCTGCCTCCTAGTGTCTCAAAGGAGTGATACACAGCCCAAGAAAAGATCAAATTTCAAAGTATACTTTCTCCTGAGGGCAGGTGGGTATTGTGTCATTTCAAGTCAGAAACATTGTAACGCCATAAACAAGGAGCTATGTAAAGGGAGAAGTTGAGCAATCTGGACCAAGAGGCCTGCGATGCAGGCTTTGGATAAACATAGGGGAAGAGATAAGACGGCTTTAGATAATGGCAGAAAAAAATGTGTTTCTGTCCTGAAGAAAGCTACATGTCTTTTGATTGACCTGGCCCTCTGTATGCTGAAAACCAGGGATTTTAAAAGCTACCCACCTCTAATTCCATCCTGATTGTTTTAGTTTGGTTTTCGTTGCTGTGATAAAGCACTAACGTGGAGAGGAAAGATTTGATTTTAGCAGGTTAAAGTCCATCATGGAGGGAAACCGAGGCAGGAGCTTAAGCTGAAAACATGGAGGAATCCTGGTTCCTGGCTTGCTCAGTTACCTTACTGATACAACCCAGGCTCAGTTGCCTAGGGGTTACACCACCCACGGTGGGCTGCCCCCCTCCCCACAGAGTCTAACAATTAAGAAAATCCCTCACAGATTTGCCCATAGGCGAATCTGATGGGGGGGGGGGGGGACACACACAATCCTTTATACGAGGTCCCTACTCCCTGGTGTGTGAAGCTAACTCAGGCACTGGTGAAAATTCAGATCAGTGTAAGAAGAAAAACCTTTAAATCAATCAGCAAATAATGTTAGCTACAAAGACTCCAGAAACAAACTAACCAGTAGAGGGCTGGGCTGGAGGGAGAAATGTCTTCCACACCCAGAGGGAAAATGAGTCTGAATCTGGAACTCGCGCAAGGACGTGTGAAAGCAAAACAAAGTTGTTTTCCAGCATGAAAAACAGCTCAGAAATCCTGTTATGAATGAAGGCACGCCGCATGAGAACAGCAACTCCAGGTGGTACTTCAGCACAATGCAGCCTGAATTGATGAAGGGGGAAGCTGAGTTCGGAGGATGAGGCCGTTCATAAAGGAAGAAAGGGCGGGAACCTTGCTTTCGAAATCCTGGTAATGTAGGGTCATGCAGTCAGATGCACCACTTGGGTTTCTCAGGCATGCCATCCACACAACGGGAAAGGCGGTCCATGGCGACGATTGGTCCTGTGTGGAAGCGATCTCCAGATAAATCGGGACAGATTTAGTAGTTTTGTAGAGCAGGATGAAGCGGGTCTCTACATGGTAACCATGTTTCTTTAACTGACCCAGCTGAGAGTGTGGGTAGAAGAAAGCCCGCCACTGTCTCATCATCGCCACCCATGCGCGGTTGACTGAAGTTTGGAATGGCCGCTCTGAGGAACGGAAGCAGAAACCGCTGAGTAGCTCGGGTCTGGAAGTGAGACTGGGCAGCTGTGACGGGCGAAGGGACCCACTGTGCGCAGTTTCTGTTTGTTTCTTTCTAAGCATCTACATTTCTCCTTTCTGTGCCCCGTATGTGTCTCTTCATAACTTTATCTGACACACTTACTCTGTCTTGTATTAATAAAGGGTTCATTTCATCCCTCTGACTGGAAATGCATGTCCTCTTTGAAGTTCTGGGACTTGCTGTTTTTCCTTAATCCTGAACCAGTTCTTTGTCAAGTTTCTCTTTGCAGTCTGTCTCTCCGCTCTTGCGATTCTGCCACGTGAGACCAACTGTGCGGCTCTCTTCTTCACATTTTTGTTTCTTTATCCCTGTGTTATAATTCGAGTGATTTCTACAGCTCTATCTCCCACTGTCCTGTTTCAATGACTACATTTTTTTTTTAATTTTAGGATTTGCTCTTGCATAAAATAAACTTTCCTTGTTTTACAACATACTTAAATAGATGCCATTTGCTCATTTGGATTTTTTTTTATTATTACGTCACTTTAAAAGGCTATTTTAGGGTTGGAGAGATGGCTCAGAGGTTAAGAGCACTGGCTGCTCTCCCAGAGGTCCTGAGTTCAATTCCCAGCAACCACATGGTGTTGCTCACAACCACCTGTAATGAGATCTGGCGCCCTCTTCTGACCTGCAGGCATACATGCAGGCAGAACACTGTATACATAATAAATAAATCTTTTTTAAAAAAAAAAAAAGCCTATTTTATATTGCTCCGTGACTTGGGAATCTCGTCCTTTCTTGTGCCTTACCGACATTCATATCAGTGCGTTTCCACGTGTGTTTTGAACTTCATAATTTGGAGGTCTTAAGCTCAAGTGTGTGAGCTGCCTTTCACAGATATGCTTCTGGGATTGGTGGGGGCATTCTCCTGGGTAGGCTTCATGTTTCTCAGAATTTGTGGCTTTTTGAGTTCTGGAGCAATTTTCATGGTTGTATGTCTGCTCAGTATGTGCTTAGCAGGTGGGCAACTCTGGTATTAGAATCACTCCCGTTGAGTACAGTCGTATTTCTGTTAGTATAAGGGCTCAACAACAACTGGATGCCTCTAACTGTGAGCTTTTCAGAAAATTTCCATCAATAACATAGGATGATTTGTGGTATATTTAGAAAAGGCACATCCAGCCAGTCCCTCCTCATCATTTCAGAGTTGAGGAGAACGAAGTCCAATCAAGTTGTGCTTGGACCCAGTGACTTAAAGACAGAGCACAGTATAAAAGACGCATCTCTTTGTAATTAACATACATCTGAATTTGATATAAATGATGTCTAACACCGATTCAAAGGTAAACCCGTGTGTTTATTTTGTTAGTAGCTTCCACTGTGGCCTGCATTCCAGGTGCCTAGAATGTGGCTTTCTAGGCTCAGTCCTGCCCAGGGCTACATCTTATCAAGCGCTTTGGTGGCTTGAACTCCTTCATGCTCAGTTAAATGAAGGCATCAATGTTCTTTCTAGTTACAGCCTGTGAGTTACTTGGCAAATTTTCCTTTGTCAATAATTTACTTTTCCCCCTCCCCTCTGTTTTAAAAAAGCATGCAGTCTGCTTACAAAGACCTAAATCTTCCTGATGACTGTCTGCCACATTGTGGGATTTTTTTTTAAAATTTATTCCCATGGTGAGTTACAAAATACCCACCATGTTCTTTTCTTTTCCTTCCTTCCCTCCCCCCTTCCTCACTCTCTCCCTCCCTTCTTTCTTTCATTCTTTGTTTCTTTTCTTCCTTTTCTTTTTGTATTAGGTGAGGGAAACTGTCAGGGCATATTTTTCATGAGGTTTCTAAGAACTTCATTCCTTTCTGTGTTTTACAGAAGCGCCCACAAAGGGGATTCAGATTCATCGATCCAATTCAAAGCAAATTATAATGGTGTGTTTTGTGCTCTGTTTCCAGAACAGGGTGTTCTGAACGTCACCTCGAAGTGGAAGAGCCTTAAGCTGAAGGTGCTGTGTATTATTTACACTGAAGAAGCTCTTGTGTGGACAGGAAAGCGCTGACAGGTCACATGGACCCCATGGAGCTGAGCAACGTCAACATCGAGCCTGACGACGGGGAGAGCAGCAGCGGAGAAAGTATGCAAGACAGCTTCACGAGGATGGGAAGCTCTGAAAAGGCAGCCATGAACAGGTAGGGATGCAAAACGGCCCGGCTCTGTGGACAGACAAGACGGGCCACGGGCCGGGAGAGCCCGGCTCTGTGCACAGACGCCACGGGCCGGGGAGAGCCAGAGTCTTGGCAGAATGGTTGGATTGATCATGGATAAATGTGAGATGACAATGTTGATGTTAACACATCAGCTCTCTGGTCCTTCGTGTGACTGACTGGAAAATGAAGTGCAATGTCCTTGTCTCCGTGGCTAATGTAACCCATATTTCACCAACATTAGCCTGTTGTTCTGTTTCGCTTTTGGGGGGACCCTCCCACAAATTCTTCTTCCTTTGATTATACTTTTGATGTTGTGACTCCAGAGGGTTTGTTGTTGTTGTTGTTGTTTGGTTGGCTTTGGGATTTTTTTTTCCTCCAAAAGCATATCCTGAGTCATATCATTCACAAACTGTCATGGGGTCACACATTAAACATATGGCATATTCTCAGCCTGTTAAACCTTCCGTCTGAGTTTCAGGTCATTCTGCTCATCTATCAACTGCACTAACCTGTGTAGCTCACCCGCCTCATTTCTAATGAGAACGTCGTTGTCAACTCCTTCCCACTGTCGGGGAAGGGCAGTCAGGAGGGAACAGTGCTCTTCCAATGGTGCAGTGAGTTTTAGGATTGTTGGACTAGGAAGGGGTAAATCGAGGCAGATTCTACTAAACTCAGTGGCTCCTGAATGTGGTAGAACACGGGGCCCTGGCTCCTGCAGAGTGGTTGCTCGGCTTAGGGGGAGATTAATCTTCATTTGCGCTCCCATCAAAGTGTGGACTAGTGAACTAACACCTGCTTTTCCAGGGTATAAGTAACTGTTCCAGATGTAGGGCAATATTCCAATATTCCGCAATTCTGTGTTCTTTTTATCTACATTGTGGCTCTTAGTATGCTGGCCCAAATCTGAGGCGCTTTTAATTCTGAAAGGAACACGCACAGGTGTGAGTGCTGTGGGGGGGTGGATGAGCTGAAGGGGATCCAATCCCAAGAACAGCCCTAGAGTCTACAGTGGATGCTGCTGCTCAGCTTCACATTGTCTGAGCTACTCACAGTGACATACTTTCTAACTGTGAGCTCATGCATAAGATGTCATTTTAATGGATGGGTTTTGTTTGTGTTTGGTTTAGAATGAATCTGTAGTTGTTTTTGTTTTTGTTTTTTTTTAATTCAACATACTGTAGCCTTTGCTTGAGGTCATTCTCCTTATGTTTTCAGTAGATGTTGCATCTGATGTTAAAATATTTTACATGCTGAGGGCATTTCTCACGTATTTTGTACAATCTCAGTCTGTTCTATGCCTGCATCTCATCTCATGCCAAAACAAGAGCATTGCAAATGCCTCAGAAATAAGTCATATACTTACTTTCAAATTCTAGATTTTAAAAACTACTCATGCAATGGAGATTTTAATTTGCTAAGGAAAATAAAATTAGCATGTTGGACACACTTCAGTTTAGATTGTTCTGGAAGAAACACTTGTTTTTTGTTTTTGTTTTGTTTTGAGACAGGGTTTCTCTATGTAGCTTTGGAGCCTTTCCTAGAACTCACTCTGTAGCCCCGGCTGGCCTCGAACTCACAGAGATCCACCTGGCTCTGCCTCCCGAGTGCTGGGATTAAAGATATGTGCCACCACTGCCCGGCGAAACACTTGTTTTTATTGTCCTTTGTCCTATTTTACCCTATCATCTCAGGTTCCAACTGTGAGCATCGTGTCCCAGCTCCCTACATAGCCAGTGTATTAAACACGGACTGTTAAACCACAGAAAGGTAGTCGGCGGACATGAACACAGAAGAAAGCCACAGCCAGGGGCACCGTGTTTCATGTGAGAAACACGGGGCAGAGCGTGTACACTCAGGACTATTACTCTGTGGTTCCTAGAAATATACGGAAAGCTTTGGGAGTATACTATTGTATTGGAGATGTACTTGTATAGACACCATGTGGGTGTGTTTGTTGTATTGGAGATGTACTTGTATTGACACCATGTAGGTGTGTCTGTTGTGTTGTGTGGGTGTGTCTGTTGTATTGGAGATGTACTTGTATTGACACCATGTGGGTGTGTCTGTTGTATTGGAGATGTACTTGTATTGTACTCTAGTGTCTGAGAGTCACCTTACAGTGTCTCTTCCCCCAGATCATTTGTTGTACCTCTTCCCTGTCATCGTATTTTCAGGATTAGCTCCTATTATAAAAGGCATTTTGGGGGCTGGAAAGATGACTCAGAGATTAAGAGCACCGACTGCTCTTCCAGAGGTCCTGAGTTCAATTCCCAACAACCACATGGTGGCTCACAACCATCTATAATGAGATCTGGTGCCCTCTTCCTGCATGCATACATGGAGGCAGAATACTGTATACATAATAAATAAATAAATCTCAAAAAAATAAAAGGCAATTTGTAAGGCTCTCCTGGAGCAATTTAGTTTTCATTTTATTTCTGAGGGCTATCTTCCTAAACCATTCTCCAACTGTTTGGTTTTACTCTGGAATGTGAGAAATGCCTTCAAAACCACAAAGTACCAGCTAGGAAGGCCTTTCCAGAAACAGGCAGAATTGAGTATGTAATATAGCCACAAAGGCTTGTGTTGTCTTTTTATAGGTAAAACTATAATGGTAGAGCTGGCCTTGCTGGTCAGGCCTCTTGGAAGTGAGACTGGCCCCCTGGCCATAGTGTCACAGCTCCTGGCATGTGGCTGCTGGAGCTGACCAGCACAGGAAGGGAGTGGCATCAGTGAGCTTGTACAGCCTCCAGCCTGTGCCCAGGCAGACTGTAAGCACAATGAGCCTTATGGATCACGCCTTAGTCAGTCAGTCAGTCAGTCAGTCAGTCAGTCAGTCAGTCAGTTATTCAAGACAAGGTTTCTCTGTGTAGCTCTGACTGTCCTGGAACTCACTCTGTAGACCAGGCTAGCCTAGAACTCAGAGATCCACCTGCCTCTGCCTCCTAAGTGCTGGGATCAAAGGCGTGCGTCATCACTGCCCAGCAGTTCCTGCCTCTTTAAAGTTTACTTTCTCTCTCAACTTTTCTGCCAATTCACCGGGTTTCATTAATAACTTTCTCAGTTTTACCTGTTATCCAATAATAACCAAAATACATTTTCAGAGTAATGTGAGCACACACGCGCACACACACACACACACACACACACACACACACACACACATACACACACACACACACTCGTAACCAAATACAGCCAGAGTTACTATGCACCTATTTTCCGATAAGCAATTACAGGCGTAGGCAGATGTCGCTGAAAAGGAGGAAGCAGCTTCGGAGTCCTGCTGGGACTGTGTGGTGCCCAGAAGGGCCACAGGTGGAGTCTGGCAGGTGGACAGGCTCCTTCCCTTTCCTGACTACAGTCACCTTGCCTTTAAGAAGGACCGTGGAAGCGCCTCCCACAGGGATATCTGGGGCATCAGATGAGAGGAGTGTCTGAGCGTATTTGTTACATCCGTGAAATTAGAGCAGGGTGTGGCTATATAGAGCCCTGGCCTCACAGAGGGTTCATCTCTAGCACCACTAAAAAAAAATCAGGGCTGGAGAGATGGCTCTGCCGTTAAAGGCTAGGTTCACAACTAGAAAAAAAATCAATAAACAATAGTAAGAGCATCATCTCATCATGGCATGACAGTAGTTTTTAAAAAACTCAGGGCTGTGGCTCTGCACCCTCTCCTTGGAAGGGCTCGTAAGGGGGCAAAACTAAGCTCAGTCAGTCTCTTTCTTACATAGTCAGTGTGGGGGGAAAAAGGAGTTAGTATACATGGTTTTCAGCTGAACATATTACATTTCCTTCCTTATAACACAGTCTGCTTCCCCAAAACTGTTCATCGTGAGTTCAGTGGTTGGTCTAGAGGGAACGCTAGTGGGAGGGAAGATCAAAAGAGCACTTTGGACATTGTCTTCCCTGATACAATTCGTTAGACCACCCTGCACTCAAACACAAGTCAGAGCATTTACTGAGATTTTTTTTTTTTTCCGGCTTTCCTTTCCTCTGCTCCTCCAGTCAATTTGCTAATGAAGATGCTGAAAGTCAGAAGTTCCTGACAAACGGATTTTTGGGGAAGAAGAAGCTGGCCGATTACGGGGATGAACATGTAAGTGATTGCTGCTTTCGGGAGGTAAACAGGCAGAAAGGTGTCTGATCTAGAGCGGTGTCGGTGGGAAAACAGTGTGATTGAAATTTTCCAAGTCTTCATCAGCACATTCTCTGTTTATTCAGGCCCTTACTGGAATAAAGGCTTGTTTTTTCCCCGTTTGCCATATGGCTGCATGAATCATTTATGAAATTTGTTTTTTTTTTTTTCGAGAAATCATTCTACCCCAAATGTAATCTGCATCCATACGCTGTTTTCCCTTCTTTTCTTATTGCTCATCTGTATTTTTAATTTTTCCTGCAACCTATGCTGAAGCCAAGACTTGCATTCCATTCAAAATTAAAGGTTCTTTCTGACTCTCTGAGTCATTAATGGCTTTTTCTCACTACGATGCTATCTTACTCTTCCGTTTGGGGAATACAGTCTCTTCCAGGAGACATAATGTGAGAAGAATAACCAAGGAAAGGCTGGTCCTTTAGCAAACGTTTGCTCATACTACACTTCTTTTCTTCAAGCACCCCGGAACGACTTCCTTCGGAATGTCCTCCTTCAACCTGAGTAACGCCATCATGGGCAGTGGGATCTTGGGCTTGTCCTATGCCATGGCCAACACAGGGATCGTCCTTTTCATGTAAGTGAACACACATGTCTGTGTTGAGTGCCGAGCCTGGACATAACCCGACAACCTGATGTAACCTGTGAATGAGAGTAATCTGAGAAAGTACTAGTAAATCACTCTTGCCTTTATATAGCTCTGCCACCCGAGGGATTATAGCTGGTGGGGTCTAATCGTGGCACTTCCTCATTCGACCATCTTTAATCAAGTGGCAGAGTGTTTATGTATCCAGCCACCAAGATGTTAGTGCAGCCCATCCGTCCACAGGAAGAAGAAACTGCTTCCCAGAATAGCTCATCCCTTGATGCTCAAAATAACATAATGTAGTGTTCAGTAATCAGAAATATTCCTCCCCAAAGCAAATCAAGTTCTTGAATAATCTTAGGGAAAAAAAACGTCATGTCATCTAAGAGCTCTGCACATCCCAGTCCTATACCTTGTGCCTCTGGGCACCAGACACCAATGACGGGCCTTTGCATACGGCCTCAGAGCCTCCTTTCCTGTCTTCTTCATTTAGTTCACTTCTGCCTCTGTTCAGCTTAACCTCGGTGCTGCCTTCCGTGACCTCTGTGACAGAGGCCAGTGTCTCACACATGTGCCTCCACTGTCACACGCTTGTGTGTGTGTGTGTCTGACTTCCTTAGTGTCTAGCTCCTTTGCTAGACTATAAGACCCAGAGAACTGGCCCCATGTCTTCCCACACACCCTTTCCTAAACCCTGACACAGTGCCTGGCATGGAGGATACGTGTGGGTGCCTGAAGCTTGTTTCTAAACCTCTGTGCTTTCTCCACACTTGGTCCAAGGCTGCCTGAGAGCAGCAGTGTTCCACAGCTGACCAATAGGATGGCTGCATAGGGGCCTCGCCTGTGAGGGACAACCACAGACGTTGGCATGGTGACACACAGTTTGGTGTTTTCCAAGACACGCTTATCAGTGTCTGCACAAGCATGAAGTTGCACATTAGGAGTCATATGAGCATGGAGCCTGGTCCCAAACACAAAGCTAGAGAGCTAGCTGTCTAAGAATGCAACACTTAGGCTTTAAATGTGCTGTTTGGGTTCTGCCATCCCATGTGATTTGCTAATCGCATAGCTATTTAAGGACTGAGGATCAGAACTATAAATATTTATCTTGTGTCAAATGAACTATTTTATGTATCATAGTCTTTAGCTGAACGGGTTTTTCTACCAACTTCAGTAAATTGTTTGAAATCAATTAGCTGCTTACCATCTGAATAGTAGGCTCACACTATATTTGCATATCTATATGCTTCTGTAATGAATACAACCTTTGAGACAAAAAGACTGCCTGCTCATTAATCATTCATGCCATTAAAAATAATTAAGAAATTATCACAGATCATTGATGAGCAGAAACAGAGAACACTTTCCCCAACCATGGAGCCATAGATCACTTTCTGGAGAGCATTGTGTTCCACATTGAAAAGGGAGGCTTCATTTCATTTCAAGCAGGTTAACTTGACCTGAGTCATCACATCTCCAGACACCATAGAGTGTGTTCCGTGTGTCTGAGAAACATTCGGGTGTCTCTCTTAGTTTGCTGTAAGTGACATAGTATTCCACTGAGTTCACTCTTAGAATTTGTCTCACAGCGAGCATGGGTTTAAGATGGAGGAATGTTCATTGTTTTTCCATGGAACAAAACTACATAATCTGAGCTACATAGTTCTTTAAAAGCAGGTCCATTCATACGGCATAGGTGAGTGAGTAAGCCATTGATTAGACGGTTCAGGAAGACTTGGTTTCTGGGAAATAGGGACACATATGGCTAGAGTAGCTGTAAGTATGTAATCCATGGTCTGAATGCACACATGCAGCAGTGATCTCCCTGGGATTATCAGACAAGCTGTGGGAAGATGTGTGCTCTCGGGTAAATGAAGGGAAAGATTGCTTTTTCAAATTTCAGATGTTAGTACTGTCCATTCATTATCTAGATGATGCTATTCACATTCATTTTTTTTCAGTTTGTCTGAGGTAAGGTGTTATTATGTAGCCCAGGATGACCTTGTACTAAGATCCTTCTGCCTCAGCTTCCCAAGTGTTGGGATTACAGGTGTGTACCACCATGCCTGGCTCTACCCATGCTCTTCTTTTTACGCCCTGATTCTTGGTCTTGGAGAAATGTTGATCAGTACTAACATATAGAAGCCATTCATCCACTTGGTCGTGTAGAGGGTCCTGATAGCAATGTGATTCCCTTTGAATATAAGCAAGGAATGGTCCTGCCATCTGCACTCACCCTCCTCTGCTTTCTATATTGCACCTGACCCTCCAGGTAGCAAAGCACCTTCCTTTCTTATGTCATCAAAAACACTTAGCATGTCTAAGCCTAGGTTTAGTCAGGTTCTCAAACAGCCTTTTACTGCTACCTGTTGATGTACATATGCCATACACACACCTGGACACTGAGTGAGTCGATGGGATGTGTTAGTTTTATGCCCGTTAGCATCTAGGCTGAGATACCTTTCACCACGCTGTAGAAAGCTTCAGGTAGTAGCTGAAGCTGTACAATGTAGAAATATAGAAAGTCCTTGTTGGGTGGCAATCAAGGATTTCCCAGAATCCTCCAAATCCATCCACTTTTGCAAAGTTAATGGTTGAAGAGGCAGAATTATTGCTGTAGATTATTGCAATGTTTAGCAGAACGGTGTCTCGCCCGTTATAAAACTTGTCTCCTTTCTGTCCCGTTACAGAATTATGCTGCTTACTGTGGCGACACTATCTCTCTATTCGGTTCACCTTCTGTTAAAGACAGCCAAAGAAGGAGGTACGTTTCCTTTGAGTCCACACCTTCAGCCAAGAGGCTATCTTCTGGTTTGATTCTCATCAAAGAACCTCCCACTCACAGGGGGTTATTATAAGCTAAGGAGGAGGTTAGTCAGGTTCATGGTTCCTTTTTTTTTTTTTTTCTGACCCCAGCAATGTGTTTTCTCGAGGTTTTTAGTTAATTGTGCAAGTGAGGATCAAGAATGAAAGCCGATTGGCTCAAGTTCAAGCCAAATAGGGGGAAGGAAAGATTTTTGGCAAATGGTCGGTGGACTTCCGTTACTAGTGACACACAGCTCAGGTGAACAGAGCCATTGCTTCTGTTTGGAGAGCGTTGACATTGCTCCTTGGTTTCTGAGGTCCTGTCCTTTGGTTCTATCATGCCTCTATACTATTTAGTTACATGCTTAATATTCTAGTGTAGAGTTATGTAAAGAAGTGCTAGAGGCATGAGAACATTCCTCTAACACAGCAATTTTATCTTCCCTTATAGGATCTTTAATTTATGAAAAATTGGGGGAAAAGGCATTTGGATGGCCTGGGAAAATTGGAGCCTTCATCTCTATTACCATGCAGAATATTGGAGGTAAGGGGGGAGCTTGCAACGGACCACTTGAACTTTCTGTAGGATGCTCGATAAAATAAACAACAACAGAACTTCTGCCAACAAACAAACAACTGTATTCTAGGTTTTAAATCTCACCAAAGCCCCTGCAGCACCGCCGAACCCACTGGGGTCTTGAATATGTGTGAGCTCTCACACTGAGCCCCACCCGCAGCTCCCAGTGTGTCTTCCTTTATGTTTTAAGATCCGAGTCTTGTGTAGACATCTCCAGAATCACTGGGGTTGTCTTTGTTTGGTTGTTGTTTGCTTTTTGTTGTTTGTGCTTTGTTTTGTTTTGCTTTTATTGGATTGGGGCCATAAACATCTGAGCCAGTTAAAGAACCCGCTCTACATTTAGTTAAAATCTTCGGCTCTACGGAGATTTCAACCATCATGCATTTCATGAGACCGCCTCCTGCTTGCTCCAGTTTGTGACAACTGAAATAAAGAGGCCTGGGTGTGTTGAGCCCTCAACTCCCCCAGCTGAGCGATGGTACCACGGCTGTTCAAAGTGTCAGTCTAGCCGCGGCTAGCTTCCAGGGGCGGATCAATGCAGGCTCTGGGTCAGGCCAAACACAGGCAGCATCGTGGCTTTAAGAGAGATCGAGCTGCACACTCCCACCCCAGAACATGCTCCCACTTTGGCTATTTCATGTGATTAGCGATCTGGCATAAGGGAAACCACTTACACTTCTTAAATTAGCAGCTCCACATTTAGAACACTTCAATTTTTCAACCCCCTGAAAACTTGGCATTCACCGCCGACGTTTTAACATTAGCGGGGATGATGTTGACATTACCCGAACAGGCCTGCAGCACCCTGAATTTTCAAAGGCCAAACACATTAACGGTGGTGACATCACCAAGAGTCGGCAGTTAAGAGCCCTCAACTCGAACCGTCCCTCAGCGAGCCAGCTCATCAGAAACACCTCCTGTTGACGCTCTGTAGGATTCTGCTGTGGCCATGGGCATTGTAAAGATTAACCAAGCCATGTGGACGGGCGACACAGCAGCCATGGGAGAAACCATCCTGCTCTGACAATAGAGAAGGGCCGGTGACCCAGAGTCGGGGGGGGGGGGTGAAGGGGGAGCCCTTGTGTTTTTTCAAAGTCTGCCCTTTGCAAGAATCTGATCTTGGATGTGTCATTGAACTCCTCACAGTCCTGATGTCCTAAACTGCAGGGTAGAGTATGACATACACCTGTTCTCTGCAAGACTTTCCAGACGACCAAATGATGGAATCCACAGAACTCAACACTGTCGGAAGTGATCGATTCCATGCTTACCTCCATGCAAGCTTAGGGACTAATTTGAAACTAGTCAGAGTTCAGTGTACAACATAGATCCTGTTCGGACAGCCACACCGGAAGGGTGGGGCTCACACTTAGAGTGTCTGTAAAACTGGCCTTTCCCTGTTGTGGTAGTGTGGGGACTAGAACCCAGATCCCTGTGCACGCTAGGCGATCATTCTACCCCCTGAACTACAGCCTCAGCCCTGTCAGTTTTACTTTTTTAATTGCACCCCTGACCATGTGTCAGATAACAAATTCGAATCAAACTGCACCAAACGGTGGACTTGGGACCGGAGTGTTGCACAAATCCCTCCAATTGGAGGCAAAGCTGTCGTGTTTTACATATGTGTACAGACATGTATACAGGGAGAGGTTTTATAGATTTTATGATGTTTTCAAAATAATGCAGGTGAAATTTGACCCTTTCTGTAATTTTTCTTAACCAATGGGAAACTGGAATAAGAGGGAAAAACCCAAACCCTTAGCAGACAAAATGGGGGAGAAGCTGTTATCTCTTATACTCTATTATCAGTCTAGAAGACTTTCAGTGGTCATTGCTCTGGGAGTCTCTCTGTGGCTCTGGGAGACCACAGAGGACCCGACAGGTGTCACTTGGAGAAAGCTGAAGTGACTGGAGTGCCCAGAGACCTGCCTTACCATTCAGCTACCTTGGTTTAGGCCTCCATCTTCTCTTATCAGACAATGGCCCATAGATTCATGCAACACAGGCCATGATGATCTGCTGTGGGATGTTCTGTATGGCAAATGTGTTGCTGATTGGTCAATAAATAAAACTCTGATTGGCCATTGGCTAGGCAGGAAGTGTAGGCGGGACAAGGAGGAGAATAAAGCTGGGAAGTGGAAGGCTGAGTCAGAGAGACACTGCCAGCCGCCATGATGAGAAACAGCATGGGAAGATGCCGGTAAGCCACGAGCCATGTGGCAAGGTATAGATTAATGGAAATGGATTAATTTAAGCTGTAAGAACAGTTAGCAAGAAGCCTGCCATGGCCATACAGTTTGTAACCAGTATAAGTCTCTGTGTTTACTTGGTCGGGTCTGAGTGACTGTGGGACTGGCAGGTGAGAGAGATTTGTCCTGACTGTGGGCCAGGCAGGAAAACTTTAGCTACAATGATCCCTAACTGTGAGAATGAAAATGTGGGACCCGAAGCCCCCTAGATTCCCCAAGTCAGATCAACCAAGAATCAGCACAGACACTGTTAGAGGCAGCCCCTTGTGTACACATTTGAAGGACACATGTCTGCTTTGAAAGAGAGCTGGGAAGCCTTGTGGAGTGTGAGGGGGGCCTTCGCATTCTGTTTTAGGGATGAGATGCTCACCTTTCCAAGGAGAATGAATGGATGTCCCAAGTGCTCTGACTTCTTACAGCTTGTATGGGATGAGTGTGCACACCACCACTAAGCTGACCCCTTTGTCCATTTCAGCAATGTCCAGCTACCTCTTCATCATTAAATACGAACTACCTGAAGTAATTAGAGCATTCATGGGACTTGAAGAAAACACTGGGTATGTCTTAACATTCTCTCTGTGATACCAAGCAGCTCATTCTGCTATCTTTTCTGTTCCCAACGCCCTCTCTCTTTCTCTTCTAGGGAATGGTACCTCAATGGCAACTACCTCGTCATATTTGTGTCTGTGGGGATTATCCTTCCACTCTCTCTCCTTAAAAACTTAGGTATTAATTCACTAACTGAAAGTATATTTATCTTTACTTCATATTCTAATTGGCAGGCTTTTTTTTTTTTTGACACTATAGTCACCTTCCAAAATATTTCTGCTAATTCCTAGGTTACCTTGGCTACACCAGTGGATTTTCCCTGACGTGCATGGTGTTTTTTGTCAGCGTGGTAAGTGCTTTGTTGACAGCATCCTTGTAGCCTGGCAAGCATGTCATATTTCATTAGTGTCCCCAGTTTTGTCCAAGCACCTCACTGGCGTGAAACAGTTCTTGCATCACAAGCAATTTTTATTGTATTCTAATTTGGAATGGGAAAGGGGCAGTCATGAGTTTAAAAATAGTTGAAGTAGAATGCCAAGGTCATATAGCACATGGTGTGTTCCAGGCTCTCTGGGTGAACATTTAGACAAAGGACCATGGTAGGGGAAACAGCAGCCGTGAAGAAGCTGGGGCCATGTCTGTATGGATCAGCCATTCTCTCTCCCACTTTCTACCCATTAAGGGAGGCTGACCAAAGCGGAATTAAAGAAGAAATCGACTCAAGCAAAGGAGATATTTCTTGAAATATCATAGATGTAAAATTTGTAAATCTTTTCCCCCAAAGAGGTAAAAGAAGAGGAAAGAATTTTTGATGACTTGTGTCATAGAAGAGCCAGAAAGGCCTGGAGTGGACTCTCCAAAGCCTGGTACTATTGACTAGGAAGTAGTACTGCCAATCATATATGGTTCAGCTCTTTTCTTTGACAGAGGCAAGGAGTCTCCACGGCCCAGTAGACTAAGGAAGCCCTCAACTGAGTTCCCTCACCTGTACCCCTAAGTCATACAGATGGATTTTTATTTCATTGTTTCCCCCTCAAAGCTTGACTTCTTTTGTTTTTGTTGTTTCAATTTTTAATGACTGGCTGTAGGTGATTTACAAAAAATTTCAAATACCCTGCCCTCTGCCCGTTCTGGATCACAATGTTGGAAATCTGACGTTCAACAGCACACTTCCAATGCACGTGATTATGTTACCCAATAACTCAGACAGCACTGATGTGAACTTCATGATGGATTACACTCACCGGAACCCAGCAGGGCTGGATGAGAACCAGGCCACAGGTCCACTTCACAGCAGTGGAGTGGAATACGAGGCCCACAGCAGTGACAAGTGTCAACCTAAATACTTTGTATTCAATTCCCGGGTGAGTGACCGATCCTCACCCCTCATGGGCCGAGCCCTGTGGTCTCTGAATTTTACGTCGTATACTGAGATGCACTGGAGTCGCTGTCTACGCTGGACCTCTAAACATATGGTGTTTGTTTTACAGACCGCCTATGCGATTCCAATCCTAGCCTTTGCTTTTGTGTGCCATCCCGAGGTCCTTCCCATCTACAGTGAACTTAAAGAGTAAGGCAGCCATCATTTTAGCACTCTCGTTTGATTTGGAAATATGTTCACGAATTCAAAGATGCTTCATGAGGAGGCACATCCTGTGGCTTTCTGAGCAGAGATGGTTTGTGCCACAACAAGCCACTGGTAATGTGTTTCACCAAGGTTTGAGGGAGCCCACATGCCAAGCTCTGCTTCCTCTCCAGTCCATCTATAATGGTTCAGGGGAGGATTTCCCACAGGTGGAGGAGGTAGTGGGTCCATTGATTTTGGCAGGTGTATGGGTTTGAATGTGGACTTTGTTGAAACTGGAAATGACAATACTCATGATAACGAAAACTTAAGAGTTAGGGCAGCCTTGCCAAGCAACTGATGCTACTCATGGTCAGTTCCTTGCCGTAAAGGTGTTCACCGGAACAGATGGCCTTGTGTGTGCAGTGGGTACACTGGCTAGGTCCTACCAGTGCATGGATCTGTGATTCATTAATAATTTCTTTTGAGGTTGTTGACATCTCATTTGGTCTGAACCCATTCTAACAGCTGGGGTGTTGGACAATGATTCTTAACTTTCTAACCCTGAACAGTGGGGGCACCTTGTCCTGTCAGTTCTGATTTACCTCATAAAGTTCCTGGAACACGTTCAGCTATTTGGGGTCTTAGATTTACCTTGTGAATCACATACAATATGAACTCCATAAGCCTGGAGATTGGGTGGTGAGTGCTCTCTATACTGGTTTCTAGAAACTTCCATGTGACAATATAAAATTTTCTCCAGGCTCTGAGCTCTTGGTAGCAAGGCTTTGCTGATTCCTTACATTATTTTCTACATGGAATTCATCTCAGTGTGAAGTAGGAAAGCTTTGCCATGGGGCCAGTTGGATCCTGGCCATTTAAATGTAACTAAATTCGTTAATTACATTAATTTTCTGTGGACAGGCTTCCTTGACATTAAAGGAACTTAGATTAAAGGAACACTGTTTAAGAGAAATGAAAATAAATCTTCCTTAGCTCTCTGAGACAAATTTAGATAAGCTGTAAGCTGTGTGTCTAAAGCCCAGTTTCCTAATTTTTATTTTAAGTTATATTTAAAGAGGTTTTTTACAATGAAGCTTGGTGTTCTTTTTCTTCGCAGTCGGTCCCGGAGAAAGATGCAAACAGTGTCCAACATTTCCATCACAGGAATGCTCATCATGTACCTGCTCGCCGCTCTCTTTGGCTACCTAACTTTCTATGGTAGGTCACCGTGCCCCAGTCATTCTCTTTGTGGTTAGAATGATAATTCACTTGGATGCATAAAATTCTTTTTCATTCCCCCTGTGAGTAGCATGGTCTATATGTAAATGGTACACTCTTGATTAGCGCTCTAACTTAGCCTTGCCACTTTCCAAAGGAAATGAGCTCTGGATCCACCCAGCTAATAGATTCCAGCAATTTGTGAAGTCATGTGTGATTTTTTTTTTTTAAATCTCTCAAACTGCAGCTAGGATGATGTCTGAGTAGGTAAAGTGCTTGACATCCAAGCATGAGACCCCAAGTTTAGATCCCCCCACACCCACATACAAATCCATTCATGGTAGTACATGATTGTAATCCCAGCACTGGGTAAGTGGAGACGGGACAATCCCTGGGACTTGTAGACTAGCTAAGCTAACAAAATCTGTGAGCTGTGAGTCCGTGAGAGACCCTGCCTCAGAAAATAAGGTAGAAAGCAATTAAGGAAGACACCCAACACCAGCCTCTAGCATCTACATACACATGTGTGTGTACATGTATGTTCACCTTCACACACATATCTGGACATGCACACATTGTAAATCCCTCAAATTAAGTTAATTTCCTTTACGTATAAGTGATTTTTTTTGTTTGTTTATTTGTTTGATTTTTGGTTTTTTTGAGACAGGGTTTCTCTGTGTAGCTTTGGAGCCTGTCCTGGAACTCACTCTGTAGACCAGGCTGGTATCCTACTCACAGAGATCCGCCTGGCTCTGCCTCTCGAGTGCTGGGATTAAAGGCATGCGCCACCACCGCCCAGCTTAAGTGATATTTCTTTGTCTGGTTTCCCAGTCCAGCTCGGGCTAGAAACAATGAGAATGAATCCAACTACATGTAGTAAAACTCTTTTCAGGGAAAAGTGGTTGCCAAGCAAATGGCAAAAACCCATAGTCCTCAAGTTTGAACCTGATTTCTTTTCTACCAGTCGGTTAAAGCTGGTATCTTAGAACTCTGAGTAAAATGTCTACTTCGTTGTATTCAGTCCTGTTATAGAAATAAATTCCTAAGAAAAAGGATACAAAAGAATTTCCCTCAGTCTGGGAGTATTCGAAATTATGTGTGCGTGAATGTGTGTGTGTGTGTGTGTATACATATATATATATGTATAAATGTCATTGCCACAGTACACATATATTCTGTCTGGCATCTTAACTGTACACAAAGGGGTTAGCATTATTTACTCATTCCAGAAAGTGTAGCCCAATAGAGAAATTATTGCAATCAAATATGTGTGTTATCATATTTTCACACTAGTCAAGGTGTCAACGCAAATAGACATTTTAATAAACACCTTCAACTTTTTTTTTGAGTTCTGTTAGTGTTTATTGCAAGACATACAACACTTTGGAAAACATTTCAGTTATTTTGAGATAGAAGAAGAAATGTGCATATAATACATACACATGGAATTTCAAAAACTGATGCAAGGTTGTAAGTCAAAGTGGCTCTTCCTCCTCTTGGAAACTCAACTTTTTTTTTTTTTAACTGAGTTGGCAAATTAAATGGAGTGTATGACAGATTTGGGAGGAAATGTCTCAGGAGGAGGCCATCATTTGCTTAGGTAGGTGTCTTTTCGGTTTGACTAATATTTGACTACTAACCAAGCACTTGCCCTCAGTTTGGCATTAACTTCTCACTGGTTACAGGCTAGTGAAAGTCAAGATCAATACCCCTGAGTGTATTTGTAACCCTCGTCCCCCATCTCATCTTGAGAGGAATGGAGGGGAAACCGGGCTGCATATGACTTCACATGCATCTCTGTGTGCCACTCCTGTCTGGATTTCATATGTATCTCTGTGCATTTGTGTCTGGCATGCTGACTGGCTGTCTTCAAAGAAGGCATCAGAGAAGTCTTAGAATAAAGTGACTGGGAGGGAGGTCCGGTAAAAATCACGCTTTCATCCTTGCATGCTTTTCTAATGCACGGCATAAGACACACATCCCTTTAGAACCTCAAGAGCTCCTGAGCTGGGATCGCCAGCACCTGTGTAAAAGCTGGGTACGGAGGCATGTGTCGGTAACCCCAGTGCTAAGGACCAAAGAGGCAGATCCCAGGGCCTTGCTGGCTGGCCAGTCTGGCCAGAATGGCAGGCTCCAGGTTCAGTGAGAGCCCCTGTCTCAAAAAGTAAGGCAAAGAAGTGATGGAGGAAAACATCTCAACATCGACCTCTGCCCCCCATAAATGAATGCATGGCACGCGCGGACACACACACACACACACACACACACACACACACACACAGTTCATCAGGCCTAGAGTTTCCACACTGGGAACAAAGAAGCTGCTGCAGACAGGTCAGAGGATAGAGGTGGACAGACAGGTCAGAGGATGGAGGTGGACAGACAGGTCAGAGGATGGAGGTGGACAGACAGGTCAGAGGATGGAGGTGGACAGACAGGTCAGAGGATGGAGGTGGACAGACAGACAGGTCAGAGGATGGAGGTGGACAGACAGACAGGTCAGAGGATGGAGGTGGACAGACAGACAGGTCAGAGGATAGAGGTGGACAGACAGGTCAGAGGATGGAGGTGGACAGACAGGTCAGAGGATGGAGGTGGACAGACAGGTCAGAGGATGGAGGTGGACAGACAGACAGGTCAGAGGATGGAGGTGGCGTGGGTGGGACAAGCTGGTAGGGCTGAGGCTTTTCTTTTCTTTTAACAGAACATGCCGTCCTGGTTTCTGATGCCCTTTGTAGCAGACATAGAGTTATTAGGGTACGAATCATGTCAAGAATCTTAGCATGTCTTCATGCTCTAGCTTCACAAGCTTCAGGACTAACTGAATCCCCAGGCCTGGGCCTCTTCCACTGTCCTGTTCCTCCATCATCGTCACGCGTTTTTCTATAAGTAGCCGGCGCCGACTCAGCAACCCCCCAACTCTTCATCTTGCAGGGGAAGTTGAAGACGAGTTACTCCATGCTTACAGCAAAGTCTACACATTTGATACCCCTCTGCTCATGGTACGCCTGGCAGTCCTGGTGGCGGTGACACTAACGGTGCCCATTGTCCTGTTCCCAGTAAGTACACCATGTTCTGAGGATCGGTGCATTGTTCTGACTCAGTGTGGATTTGGGTGTCTGTGTATTTGCAGTTGTGCGTCCCAGCCAATTATTATTTTCTCACAGAATTCTGGAGCCACTTAAAGTTGACCGCTTCTTATATAGACACAGCAGGTCATTTTAGATGGTGTTTTTAAAGTGTGCGAGGAAACATGAACTTTATTTTTAAATTCAAATTAAAAACGAGCAGAGCATGGGCTGCCACCTGTAAACTAATAAAATTACGAGCAGTTCTTCTGACTGTGGAAATGTGAAAGCCAGAGCCACGAAGGCCACGCTGCGTCCTGCCACGGTTTGGAAGGTTTTTCAGTTTGTGCCTCGGTTGGCTGTGCTGAGGTAGTAAGAGCTAAAGGTCAGGTTATTGAATCTGATATCTAATGGGAAGGAGACTCATTAAGTAAATGACATACCCGAAGGGGGGTTTTGATCACTCCCACCAAAATGGACACCTGCCTTCTGCCACTTGAGAGTCTTGATCCTTGGCACTCACTAGTCAGGGTATCAGTTTGTCATGGGCTCACAGCACGGTACCGGGGTAAGGACTGGGCTACAAGAGTTAAAACACCACCTAGGGACAAACACAGGTGTTCAGCCGCCTGCCAACTCTGTCCCTTCCGTAAACACTCAGTTGACTTATCCATTTTAGGGGTGTCAAAATGAGTGGCCCAGCAACCAGCTTCGCCATGTACAAAATGTTCCACACAAGACTCGGCCTAAGAGAGCAACTGAAATAGTGTGCCGTGGTCACTTTAAGGAGAGCTTGTTTGCCGAAGCATAGTTTGTCACATTCCTTTTTCATGAGCGCATGAAATCAAATCCTTGTCGCTATCGTGGCTAATACTTTACTCTTCAATAACGCCTGGCCTCTAATATATCTGAGAGCATTCTGAATGTCACACATGGAACATTAGTCTATGAGCTCAGGCTTGAGCCAGATGTTCTACAGGATGAGATTTCTAGTTGCTCTGTGAAAAGCATATCTGGAGTCCTTGTGGGTTTTGGCGAACCAGAAACTCTTGCATTGTTGATCGATTATTTTATGCAAGGGATCTGTTACAATCTCTACCTTTGTTTTCCTCGCCAGCCCTTGATAAGGTGTTTTTGAGCCATAGTCTCGAGAGATGGATGGATGTGGGGGTGGTCACATAGCGTGTGGATAATAACTGTTAAGCCAATGCAAGGCTCACTGCCAGAATGGGAAGTAGAAGCCAGCCTCGACAAATATTCTCTCTCACCATTGAAAACCCAAACCTCTCTTAGAAAAAATTCTCATCCTGTGTAAGAGCGAATGCCCTAGGCTGATCTGATCATCAGGAACTACAGTAGTTTGTCAGTGTTAGAGGCCATTAAGGATGAAAATTGGCCATAAGACCCAACATCCAGAGAAGTAAACAGTGTCTACCATTTCCTGGGCGTGGCATGGTCTTTCACTGCCACAGTTATAGGGAAATGTGAACAGTGGTCACAGACAGAATGGTGGCCAGCAGAGAGGGTGAGCCAACAGCGTTGAAAATGAAAAATGGTCTTGGGGTGAATCTTGCCTTTCCTGAAACGTGTGAACCACCTTTCTCTAGTTTTTTCGTGTGCCATGAATCCATGGAAATGAGGATCTGGACAAGTAAATCAAATGGCCATGAATGTGTTGGTGACAAAGAATGATGACCTCTGTGTCCTAGTCAAGTTCTAAAAGTGGTAGATCTAAAACAAATTCCGGTGTGTTTCTGACAGAGTGATAGATTTGGTGATATATTGTGTACTCTAATAAACTTGCTTGGGGATTGGAGGACAGAGCCACCCACTAGTTTAAACATAGAGGTTAGGCAGTGGTAGCACACACCTTTAATCCTATCACTTGAGAGGGGATCTCTGTGAATTCAAGGCCACACTGGGCTACATGAGAGAAACAGCCAGGCAGTGGAGACACACACCTTTAATCCCAGGAAGTAAGATGGCAGGACACAGAAAGGAATATAAGGCGTGAGGAAACAGGAACTCACACTCTTAAGGTTTGAGGATTTTGTAGGGGTAAGAACTCGTGGCTGGCTGTTCTGCTTCTCTGATCTTTCAGCTTTCACCCCAATGTCTGGCTCTGGGTTTTCTCTTTATAAGACCTTTTAGGATTCGTGTTACAGGTAGATATTATGGATAGTGTTTTTATTCATTTCTTGTAACTTGGGGTCAAGGATTTCAGTGAATCAAACACAGGCGTGGCTCACCTGGAGGGCCAGGCTCACCCAAAGGGCCTGGTTCACCCGCAGGGCATGCCTCTCCTGCATGGTGTGGCTTACCTAGAGGGCCTGGCTCTCCCGCAGGGCATGCCTCTCCTGCATGGTGTGGCTTACCTAGAGGGCCTGGCTCTCCCGCAGGGCATGCCTCTCCTGCATGGTGTGGCTTACCTAGAGGGCCTGGCTCTCCCGCAGGGCATGCCTCTCCTGCATGGTGTGGCTTACCTAGAGGGCCTGGCTCTCCCACAGGGCATGCCTCTCCTGCATGGTGTGGCTTACCTAGAGGGCCTGGCTCTCCCGCAGGGCATGCCTCTCCTGCATGGTGTGGCTTACCTAGAGGGCCTGGCTCTCCCGCAGGGCATGCCTCTCCTGCATGGCGTGGCTTACTTAGAGGGCCTGGCTCACCCAGCAGACATGGTTTCTCCCCAACAGCTTTCTTTGCATTCAGAAACACTTGACCCCCAAGAAGCTTCTTTATCGGCCACAGTATCCTCACAGGCAGGTAACAACGCAAACTTAGTCTGGGTTCCATTCTACCTTAGCTATTACTATGTATTCTTCTTCTCGCAGCCCGCGGTAACCCAGCTCTTGCTTAGGTGAGAGGATAAGAGTTGCCCGCTCAGTTTTCCCTTATCCTCTTTGTCATCTCAGCTGTGGTTGGGTCTTTTCCTTCTTAGCACGAGTGTAAAGGAGCCATCTGTCTGTCTGTCGGACAGATGCGGAAGTAGAGTGAATTGAGGCTAGCTTCCCATTAGCAGCGTCACAGGGCTCTCCTTAGATGTGGGTAGGCAGTCCACTGTGGGGATGGATGCACCTCCTTCCAGAGCATGCACAGTGACATTTGCAGCCATGCTTCCCTTCATACAGCAAGGCTCACATGTCACCACCAAGGACAGAAAAGCAAGCAACCTTTATGATTTCTCCTAAGTGGGCAGGCTCGTGTGCTACCTGTGGCGTGTTCAGAATCACCTCTCAGACTTTCCAGCGCCCGCTGTTTCTTCTGCTCACAGAACAATCATCCCTTTAGCATGCCCTGCTTCCAGGCCTCCTGTTCCGAAGCGTGCACAGACATAGACATAGAAATGTGGTAGAGTTAGTGTTCCCAAGATCTGATCCCCAAGCAATCCTGTAACGTGAAGAAGGCGTCTTTTCTACTCAACAAGAGAATCTGGGAGTTGGGGATTTAGCTCAGTGGTAGAGTGCTTGCCTAGCAAGCACAAGGCCCTGGGTTCAATCCTCAGCTCCAAAAAAAAAAAAAAAAGAGAATCTGTGTTTGTCAAATGTCAAGTCAAGGCTGTCCCTTTCTACTTGACTTCCATAGTGCCTCCCAACAGGCTGTGCACAGGACAGTCTGTAGGACAATTGACATTCTACCCAGGAAGTGTATGGAAACTTGCTAATGTCATTCTGTGTCAGGAGCCCTGGCTGGTGCTGGGGACTTCCCCGCCTCGCAGCATCTGACCCACATTTTCATACCCTCATCAGTCTGCATCAGTAGATAAAGGGGCACACGGGGAAGAGGAAGGCACAGGGGCTTTGTGGGTAATAAGGCTGAGTTGCCGCTGTTGTCCTGGTGTGGGTGAACAGGGTGTGGGTGAACCCTGCCCCAGCCTTTGGGACCCACTTTCTCACGAAGGCAGCGCTGTAACGTGGAATAATGACTGGTTTCCTTCCAACCCTCTTCTAACCCTCTCCAAGGCCACGGTCAGCCTTACCCTTCCTGGTGATGTTGCCCTCTTCTGGGGGTATTGGTGCTCCACGTTCCCGTCAGTCCTGTGAGAGATCCTCTTCAGCTCACTTGCCATAAGAACAAAGCTTTCCCCGTTCACTCCAACTGTGATCCTTTACCCCTGTACATTTGCTCTCCTCTCATTTCAGTAGGGCCAAACCTTTTACCACATGACCTTGGGAAAGTGTGCTCATTCTCAGAGACCCTGGACATACAGGATTGGCCCTGACTTGGCTTTTTGTTTTTGTTTGTTTGGTTTAAACTGAATGCTTTCATTTTAACAAAAACAAACAAAAAAATATAGAAGCGTGGCATCTTCACGAAACATGAAGCTGCATGCAGCTTGCTTTCTTTGTAAGTTTCCCGGTCAGACATGTCCTTGAGCAACACACACCACTGTAGAAAACTTACTCCAAGTCCACTAACCCCGCCTCTGTGCACAATATCTGACAGGCATTCATCACAGGTCACAATGTAGTCCATCCCAGCTCCTGGGGAGAGTGGCATCCTTCCCTTCCTTGAGGTACTTTTCACAGTGAGCTTCGTATTTTTCACTAATCCACTTTTTAAAATCGTACACAAAGTTGCTCTTAAACCATTGGCGGGATGGTGCAGTCTGCCGTCCTAGAAATGAAACACCCTTTTGACCCACACAGATGGCTTTCATTTTCCGTGAATGGGATGAAAGGAATGCCCCGGGAGAAACTGCAGGCGATTTAGCTTGCATTTTTTCGGGTTGTCCATACATGTTTCAAAACGGAGCTCACATTTGCTGTCTCTGCAACAAGTTCCTGTCCCCGCCGCACCATGAGATTTCGAGACTGAACTTTTTAGGTGAAAATCGATCCCATCACTTCTGAACTTAGGAAGCCCTAGCTTCACCAAAGGGCTGGCTCACTGAAAGGCCGATAGAGTAATTCTACTAAGTCAAAAAGAGTGTCCTCCTCGTAAGAGATTCCAAAGATAAGCACGTTTCTGGGCCGGGCTGTCCAAACCCAAAGGCTCTCTGCCCCTCTCCCACAGCGACCTCTTTGTCTGCTTGAGTTACTTGAGCTCCCCTGCAAGTGGAGCCTCCCTGGAGCCCCCCCCCCCCCCGCCCCCCCCCCGCCCCCCCGTATTTCAGCTGCTGAAATGGGGCTGGAATCTGTGGAGGACCCCGAAGGGAGTGAAAAGATTCCTGCTGTCAGTTTAATTCAGCATTTACTGAGCGCCTGCTAAGTGCAAATGACTGAGCAGGACCTCTGAGGAATGTTGGGGTTATTAAATCCCACTGTTTGTCTTTTGTGGATCTGTAATCTATTAATGTGGGGGCGGGGGGAGGGGGCACGAGAAAACAGGAAACACAAAAAGTATCACTCCCCCCCTCCACCCCAAATACCAGTGGAAAATGTTAAATAAAATGGAAAATAAAGAGAAAGCCAGGTTTACAGAAACTGCTTCACGGTCTGTGGTTAAGTCCTCAGTGTCTAGGTTCAACGCCTAGGCAGGTCTAATGAGCATAAGACGTGGTTAGCGATCACAAGGGCTTCCCTGCCTCTAAGCTGTATGGAACTGGGTTTTTGTTTTTGTTGTTGTTTTGTTGTTGTTGTTGTTGTTTGGTTTTTGGTTTTTGAAGACAGGGTTTCTCTGTGTAGCCTTGACTGCCCTGGAACTCACTCTATAGACCAGGCTGGCCTCAAACTCACAGAGATCCACCTGCCTCTGCCTCCCAAGTGCTGGGATTAAAGGTGTGCACCACCCCCGCCTGGCTGAGCCCCTATTTTATCTCTTCTGCCCAAGATTATTTTTGAACAAAGAATTCTAAGATCCAAGGAAAGCGGTCACATGATATGCAACCAAGGAAAGATCTCACTCTCAGACATCATAGATCAGTGTGACGTTGGCACACGACATGAAGGGACTGAATTCCGCTGAATTGTATAAACTTATGATATATGCTACTCCGTGTGTGTTTCCACAATGAAAATGTGAGAAAAAAAGCCTCAAGATATTTTTTTGGCCGCAGGGTTCGGGAGTGGTTAAAATAAAAGCAAAACGTTTTAGACTAGAATACTTACAATCATAGCAAAAATTAAAAGCAATCCAGCGGTGCTGATACACGCCTTTAATTCTAGCACTCGGGAGGCAAAGACAGGTGGATCTCTGTGAGTTTCAGTCCAGCCTGATCTACAGAATAAGTTCTAGGACAGCCAAGGCTACACAGAGAAACATTGTCTCCAAAAAAAAAAGTTGAAGAAGTGACCATGTCTTTGAACACCCTCCTTGCAGATTCGGACCTCAGTGATCACACTGCTGTTCCCCCAAAGACCCTTCAGCTGGGTAAAGCATTTCCTGATTGCCGCAATAATCATTGCGCTCAACAACGTCCTGGTCATCCTTGTGCCCACCATCAAATACATCTTTGGATTCATAGGTAAGTTTCAGAAAAGCCTTTGTTTGATTAGTTCGGACTTATGCCTCCTTAAATGGCAAATACGAAGACAGCACTGTGTCCCTCTCAGGATAATAAGAATCCCATGAGCCCCTGCTCGGCTCAGTGACCACACTGCCTGTGTGTTCTCTGTCTCTTAACTGATGTTAGCATTCACCTATAGCCATTTCGTCCAAGTGCCCTTTCAAGAGATAAAGAAGCTGAGCCTCAAATCAAATCACATACTTTTTGGTAGACACAGGATTTGAGCACAGGCCATAGCTCTGTCTTCAAGGGAAAAGTAAGGGTTGACTACCATAAGCTCTCTCGAGTCTGTAAGTGCCAGCTGGGGTGTTCAGGATGTCTTTAGGGGAACTGGAGGCTGATAGACCAAAACATCTCATTTCCTTTAACCACATGGTCTGTTGGTGCATTTAATTTCTTAATCTGTACAAAGGGTTTTCTAGATTTTCAGGGTAGAATGACTTTTTACTTTTTTTTTTTTTTTTTTTTTTGCTTTTTGAGACAAGGTTTTTCTGTGTAGCCCTGGCTGTGCTGGAACTCACTCTGTAGACCAGGCTGGCCTTGAACTCAGAGAGATCTGCCTGCCTCTTCCTCCCAGTTGCTGGGATTAAAGGTGTGTGCCACCACTGCCTGGCTAGGCCACGATGACTTTTAAGAGAATCAGGTGTGGACAGGAAGCTTGAGTGTTGAGTTCAGCCCCCCGAGTGTGTAGTTACATTTCTAAGTCTTTGCCAACTTGTATTGTACTGCTTATTATAGTTATACTTACACAGCTATCATGTGAGGCATATTTTAATTTTCTTTATGGAGACACATTCTAGAATACATAATCAAGATGAACTATGACTTAAAGTTGCTTTTAGTGCCGAGAAAAACAAAATAGTGTTATATTTGTTTGTCCTGAAGTGTGTGCTTACAGATCCCTGCTTCTCTGGGTATCCACTGTGAGACACTAACCTGCCCTGAATCCCTCTCCTCAGGGGCTTCGTCGGCTACCATGCTGATCTTCATCCTTCCAGCCGCTTTTTATCTCAAGCTTGTCAAGAAGGAACCTCTTAGGTCCCCCCAAAAGGTTGGGGTAAGTAAGACTTAGAATGTCCCCTACTGTATGTAGAGGAAGTCAGAAAACACATGCGGTTTAGGAAAAATGAAACAAACAAGACCCCAAAATAAGACCCCAGAGCTGAACATGGGCAGGACAACAGTTGGGGAGGAGAGGATGTCTGACATTCAGAGGATTCTAGGATTTCAAGTAGCAGATAGCTCAATATTGTGCTGAGTTCTTCTAGGTGGCCAAGTGCTGCCCTGGTCTATTTCCCCACAGGCATGCATGCTACATGCACACTGGCATCCCGTGCCAGGCTGGGTATGATGGGACATTACAGGAAGGTACTGGGCTCTCTCCCGGTGTGGGCAATGGCGGCAATTTAGTCCCATTTGCTAGATTCACGTGGGCAAAGATGGCTTTCGTTTCCCTCCTACCAAACCCTGTATGCTCTGTAAAAAATAGAATCAATCATTTTTCAGTCAGTCTTTTCAGGTATAAAATATTATCTTATTAAACTCTGGTGTGCATATTTCCTTTCCACAATACCCATTATAGAAACATACATCCCAAAAGATATTTTACCCATAGTAAGTATTGGTGACCAGTTAAAAGGGTCTTCTAGTAAGGCTTGGAAAGAATGCTTCTAAAGCCAAGCTTGAGTCTTGAAGCCGTTTACCCCCTGGGGTGCCCAGGGATGTAAGGGCAGCCTGGTAGAAAAGCCCTCCTGTCATCCTCCCCCCAAACTTGCACTCTGTGTGTTCCCTCTGGCTTGGGTGTCTGTAGCAGTGTACCCTGAGGAAAACACTCATCTTGGCCAGACAGAAAGTGGGTAAACTCATCCCCTAGGCCTTCCCCTGCTGCTCTCCAATGGGTAGAATTAGAAGATTGGTCTATGTGGAATATTTAAGAACCCTTCCAGTTAAAATTCTGAAGTACAGATGTTCTCAATATTCCTCCTTACGAAGATACCTGTACGTCTGTCTTTTTTCAGAAATGGCCAACGTACACTGGCCTTTCATTTATTCATGTGATGTGTGAGTTGTATCATACATGCCCCTCTCACTACGTCAGGCTCTTTCCACCCAAGAGGTCATGAGTCTCCGTCTATTGCTTAATTGTTAGTAGTCCCCATATTTTCCTGTACCAAATCAATCAGCTGTTACTCTCTTCTCAGCCCTCATGCTCTTTGTTTTCAGTATGTTTTCCCTCCTTTCCCAACGAGGCTCTTAAAGCGACTTGACGTTTGTCACTAAGAATAGACAAGGTACATTACCACCCTGTGACACTGTCCTAGAGCAAACTGTGCGGTCCCATCTCTGCTCCCTAATGTGCTTCCTCTGAATTGCAGGCTTTGGTCTTCCTTGTGACTGGAATTATCTTCATGATGGGAAGCATGGCGCTCATTATAATCGACTGGATTTACAACCCTCCAAATACCAAGCATCACTAGTCCTAGGGAAAAGCTTTTCTATTGGAAATGGCTGAAATTATGCTCCAAAGGACATTTCAGTTGCCTTGATTGGGATGTTATCCAGGGGAAATAATGAGAAGATTCTAAAGACAGTTTCTAGTTCCATTGCCTGACACCCATGGAAGAGGAAATGATGGGTTTGGTCGGGATGGCGAATGCATTAAAGATCCATGGCACACATTTCAACCCAGGTCTGCTAGTGCAGTGTGTGACGCCCAAAGTGTGTTCTGCAGGTGTGCAAGCAGAATCCAGGTGGCTGCATGTCTTGGTCAGCAGACAATACTGTGCCCCCACCCCCCTCACCCACCCCCATTGCTCACTCCCCACACTTCACCACCCCAGATAACAAATAATTGTATTCACAGAACATCAAACAAAAATGCCCCAGTGCAAAGCTGTGATCACTTAAGGCCATCTCCCATCCTGCACCACCACTAAGGGTCTGTTGCCTGACTGAGGCAGGCATGTATCTTGGGAACTGTTCCTGTGAGGTCCATGAATGACAGATACCAGTCTAGAGTGCTTCGTTTCAATACTAAAAGGGTAGTTTGCCCAACCTGCTTATTACACTGAATTAGTGTCGATGGGTTTTTTATGGTAAACGTTAAAACATCTCATTAAATTGGGGGGGGGTATTCAATTATCAAGAAATAACAACAACAAAATAACGCTTTCAGCTAAACTGCCTAGTGAGACAGCATCTGCTTTTCCACGTTGCCCCTGGTATTTTTGTCACACTTTTGTCTTTGAACAAGGCTTGCCCTCTTGTCTTCCATTCTCAGGCATAATTTTCAGAAGACCATAATTCATGTGGAGACACACTACCCAGTATTGCTTGATACATTTGTATTTGATAAACATTCAGTGCAGGAAACTGTGATTTTGCTACATATTTGTGTATATATAATCTCATTCTGTAGTTATCAGAATGTTGACATATGGTACATTGGATTTTTATTTTTTAACGTGTAGTTTTCTTTCTTCACAGTCAAAACATTTATATTATTGGGTTGGGGCAGGGAATTAAGCTAGTGGTCTCAAAAGTCCATGGGTATGTATCTGTCCATTGGAGACATATAAAAATTAAAACCAAAGTTGTACGTAGTTCAGTAATGCTCTTCACTGTTTACAACACTATCATCACCTATGGGAACTTAGCAGAGAAAGGGACTCTTTGTTTGTAAATAATTTCTGGTACCAGCATTGGTCTTTGAGTTTAGCATGTCTAGAATAGGACTCTGCTCCTCTTAGCTCTCATGGGAATTTGCTGACATTCATCTGTCGTTAATATAATGTTAAGTGGTTAGAAACAAATGCCCTCACATGACATGAAAACATAGACCACCATTCTTTTTCTTTTTTCTTTTTTGTTTTTTTTTTTTTTTTTGGTTTTTCGAGACAGGGTTTCTCTGTGTAGCTTTGCGCCTCTCCTGGAACTCACTTGGTAGCCCAAGCTGGCCTCGAACTCACAGAGATCTGCCTGCCTCTGCCTCCTGAGTGCTGGGATTAAAGGCGTGCGCCACCAACACCCGGCAGACCGTAGATGCTTTCACGGGATAGAGTTCAGTTGCCACTCACTGCCTAGAATTGGGGCATTCACTACTATTTTTGTTTCAATTATTTGTTATAGACTTTACATTTCAGTAAAACCCAAGTATGAAATACACATATCATACAGATAATGATCATGCTGTCATATTAAAACAGTTTTTCTGCAGCGTGCCTAAAAAATATATATTTGTTTTATGTATCATTTTCCGTAGTTATAATACTATAAAATGGTGTGTTTTGTAATAGAAATTGAGCATTACTAGAAACTATCATAACTTTTAAGTTATCAAGATTTGGGAAAGAGATAAAAAAAAAATCACCAAATAGCATCTTTAAGATTTCTTTCCATTTTCATTCACCCAACAAATAAACCAAGATAGGAAGTGGAAAAGGTATGTTACAAATATTAAATATGTTTAGTCCGAACATATTTAAATGTAAATATAAAAGGTTAATCCAAACATATTGGAAAACTGTAAAATCTGTATATATTTTGAGTATTTTACATTGAGAATGACTAACTTGAAAGCATCCACATTTGGAATTATATAACTATTCAAGAGCAATATGACAGCGCCAAAGACTACATACAGCACGGCTCTTTCGCGTGGCCATCTTCAGGGTTAGGGTTTGCACAAGCTGCAGGGCCGGTTTGCGGAATACCTTGTTCTGGCAAATTGAACCCATTTGTAAACAGATACAAATTTTATTTTCTTATATCGTTTGTAAGGTGGTTCGATGTACTGGGAAGATTTTTTTTTATTACAGAGACTGTATATTGGTATATAATAAATGAACTTTTCAAATGACCCGGCTGTGATTATTTTCTTCTCAATAAAGAAGGGCTGAGGGTTATTATTTGTATGTGAAACGAAATTGAAAGTCTAAATACCACCCATCTCAAACTGGTGCACATTCATTATGCATAGGCAGAAGGTACAAGTGCCTCATCCCCTGAAGATACAAAACACACTTATGCCCTCATCTCACACATGTACACACACTATTGCTGTTGTGACAGATTAGCACACGTTTAGTGGTGTGAACACATACAGAAAATTTAAAGCCAGGTGTGAGGTCGTGTGCCTGTCATCAAGCACTGGGAAGCAGAAGCAGGAGAATTGTCAATTTGAGGCCACCCTGGGCTACACAGTAAGGTGCGATCTCAAAGACGTCAGAGGATATCAATAACATTATTTTATTGTGGAAGTCAGCTGCGGGGTTGGCTCTGCCTCTCTCTGGAGTTCTAGGGTTAGATCTAATCTATTCCCTTGCCTTTTCCAACTTCTAGAAGCCACCTTGATTCCTTGGCTCCTCACTTCTTCACAATGTATGGTTTTCCAATTCAGATCTCTCTCTCTCTCTCTCTCTCTCTCTCTCTCTCTCTCTCTCTCTCTCTCTCTCTCTCATTCGCTTTAAGGATTCTTGTGACTGCAATGGGGTCCATCCAGATAATACATATAATATCCCTTTGTAAAGATCCCTAATCACATCCATGAAGTCCCCTTGCCTAAGCTGCAAGGACTAACATGACCGTTTGTGGGGAGGGGCAGGGGCAGGTCATTCTTTCTACCACACACATCTGCCAGTCTATACCACGGACAGTGCTTGCGTTTGCTTGTGTGCCTGATATGTGTACAGGCTACCCCAGATACTGCAGATGTCTCTGAAGTATATAAAAGGAGGTGAAAGATATATTTTAGAAAGATGGTCCTAGCCACTGGCTGGAGAGTGGAATGGGAGGGAGCTAAGAAAAAGAAGAAACTGTAGGCCTGTTGTGGGCCACTGAGAACAGCAAGATCCCCTCTTCCCATTGGCAAGTTCATGCTGCCTTAAACTAAAGAAGTGCTTTTGGTCAAGAGTCTTGCAGATACACATTTCTCTGGTCTGTTTCTTTACATTTGAGTCATCTTTTTTTTTCTTTTTCTTTTTCTTTTTTTTTTTTTTTTGGTTTTTTTCAAGACAGGGTTTCTCTGTGTAGCTTTGCACCTTTCCTGGAACTCACTTTGGAGACCAGGCTGGTCTCGAACTCACAGAGATCCGCCTGCCTCTGCCTCCTGAGTGCTGGAATTAAAGGCGTGCACCACCACCACCCGGCGAGTCATCTTTTTAAAAAAAAAAAAATTATTAAAGGAAGATTAAACAGAGGATGGGATGTAGGCTGACTAATGTCGTGATATATATGATTCTAAGTGCCTCACACATCTTGGAAGCTCAGAGGCATCTTGTAGGCCCTTTCAGGAAGAGGTGCTTGCCTACACTCCTAGAGTTCTCCAAATGTGAGTCCAATATATAGAGCATAAAGGGACATCCCAGTGAGAGCAGTGGCCTTTCTTCTGCATCAAGAAGCACTTATGGCAGAAAGATCATTCTGTGAAAAATATAAACATCTATGATTCTTAAGCAGAAATTAAACATTGACCCATAAGATTTATAGTTTACATATGAAAAATGAATAATAGTTATATTTTATATTTTCATATAACATATGGACAATGTTATATTTTACGTTATAAAATATATGTTCTATTTTATGTTATATGTTATATTTTTCTTTTACATATGAGCAATGTTATGTTATATTTTCCTTTTACATGTATACAGGAGTTTTAAATTAAAACTTCTGTCTCAAGTTGTAAAAGTCCTCTTTTCAGTAATTAGATTTTTTTTTTAAAAATTCCAAATCTAAAGAACATTGTAGCCTGGTGTGAGAAGATGTCTCTCTTCTCCCACAAGCAACCAGAGAAACTAGCTCCTATGGGCTGGAGCCTCTTCCACTAAGCCTCTGGGACAGAAGGGATTTGACCACTATGAACTGCTCAGAAACTTAGTGCCTGGGACTCCTCTCTCTGCTCAGAGACACTGAGATATCTGGGGTCTACTTGCTGAGGGATCCTGTCACACTGAGATCCCAGAAAGCAAAATCTTTGTATTCCTTTCTTCAAGCTGGAGACACCCTTCACCAGCAGAGACACCTACAACCTGGCTTGGGGAAAGCATTTCTGTGTCCCAAGCATCATTAGCAAGAATCCATGGACAGAACAGAATCATGAAAGCCAAGCAAAGCAAATAATATAACAAAGATTCTTAAAATTAAATTGCAATTAGTACTAGTGTCACAAGAGAGGTCAAAAACTGTGTGCTCCAGCCGGGCGGTGGTGGCGCATGCCTTTAATCCCAGCACTCGGGAGGCAGAGCCAGGCGGATCTCTGTGAGTTCGAGGCCAGCCTGGTCTCCAAAGCGAGTTCCAGGAAAGGCGCAAAGCTACACAGAGAAACCCTGTCTCAAAAAACCAAAAAAACAAACAAACAAACAAAAAAAAACAAAACTGTGTGCTCCAATGAAGGATTGAAATAGACATGTGACATAGACTGTCCAGTCTATAATTGAAAATCACCTTTCACATCAAGAACCAGTAAAACTACAATTTAAAAAAAAGGAGACCTATCTAATACTAATACTAAAATGAATCAGATGACAAGGATTTTGAAGGCACCCACCCTAAAAACTCAACAGTGAACCATAAGTTCTTTTTGAAAAACTAACATATTCCAACAAGGAAAATGATTTTTAAGAACCAGACAAATATAAAATGTAGCAATGAAAAATACAGCAGCAGAAAGTGCATCTTGTTGAATGTACCAGTGGTAGGTGGAGACAAAGGTGCTGTGGATATCGCTCTGTATAAATAAAATGCTGATTGGCCAGTAGCCAGGCAGGAAGTATAGGCAGGACAAGCAGAGAAGAGAATTCTGGGAACAGGAAGGCTGAGTCAGGAGACGTTGCCAGCCGCAGCCATGAGTACCAACAGGTAAGATACTGGTAAGCCACGAGCCATGTGGCAAGGTATAGATTTATAGAAATGGGTTAATTTAAGATAAAAGAACTAGATAGCTAGAAGCCTGAGCCATTAGGCCAAACAGTTTAAATAATATAAGAGTCTGTGTGTTTATTTTATAAGTGGGCTGTTGGACTGCCGGGGCTTGGTGGGAGCTGGAGAGGAACTCTCCAGCTACACAAAGGAAGATCATGTCAATGAACTCGAATGAATTAGTATCTGAACAGCAGGAGGAGAGAGAAGGTGGAAACAAAGGATAAATCCCCCAAAGCACAATAAGGCTGTGCTGCTGCTGTGGGACAAAATACAAAAACCAAGTCAACATTTCTGTTATTAGATTTGCAGAAGGAGCTTAAAGCTGAAATCTACATATTCAAAATGCTGAGTAAATCCCAAGTAGCATAAATGTCCCAAAATTGGTGCTAAATTAGTAGTCTAGCTTCTAAAAACTAATGTCAAGGAAATCTTGAAGATATTTTGAGACAAAATAACACAGTAACTACAGGAGAATACTAGTTAAAAAAAAAAAAAGTCTAAGGATTCCTCATGGAGATCAGAAAGAAGTACGGTAGCATCTTCAAGGGAAGAAAGAGAATTGGCACTGCAACTTTTATACCCAGCAAAAGTATCTCTCAGGCAGCAAAGTAAAATAGCTATGTTCCTCCAAAAAAAGAAATGAAAAGAGTGTGTTGTAAACCTTCTGAAATCATTAACTATGATAATAATAAAATGTTAAAAAAATTAAAAAAACAAGTTCTTCAATCAGAAAGTCAATGATAAAAAAACCCAAATGCTGGAACACAGAAAAGAAGAAACAAAGGAAAAACAAGAAATACAGGTAATTAAAATAGAGTATCTTTTTCTCTGTGAACTTCATAAATACATTTTTTGAGACAGGGTCTCACTATGTGGCCCTAGCTGCCCTGGACCTTACCACCAGGGTGGCTTCAGACTCACAGAGATCCACCTGCCTCTGCCTCCCCAGTTCTGGGATTAAAGGTGTGCATGACCATACCTGACCATAAATACATTTTTATTAAAAATGAATCATCATCTGGTCCCAAAGCAAAATTTTTAATAGGGAAGGTAATGGTTTGAAATAGAAGTGGTGGTCCCTATTACATTCAATTTGGATGATATTGATACCAGTAGATTGTATTAAGTCACATACATAGACATAAAAATACACATAAACATGACACAGAGAGAACCATTACTTTAAAAAAACAATACAAAGACATAGTCAGGCCAGGTGGTGGTGGCATATGCCTTTAATCTCAGCACTTGGGAGGCAGAGGCAGGTGGATTTCTGTGAGTTCGAGGCCAGCCTGGTCTACAGAGCGAGATCCAGGACAGGCACCAAAACTACATGGAGAAACCCTGTCTCGAAAAAAACAAACAAACACACAAAAAAACCCAAACAAACAAACAAAAGACATAGTCAACAACATAAATAAATAAATAAATTTAGGGGATTACAAAAATATGTTTAGATAACTCACTAGAATCCAAGAAAGTAGAAGGGAAAAAGTAAACCAAAGAGAATGAATAATAAAATAGCAGACTTAGGCATTGACATATTAATAGCTACTTTATTGGCAAGTGTGATCTAAATATTCCAATCAATAGTGATTGGAAGAACACATAAATCTACAACCTAATAATTATGTGCTGTTTGTAAGAAATTGACTTCAAATTCAATGACCTGGGTAGGTGGGAAGAAAAAAAGATTAAAAAAGAGATAAACTTATAAAAATCAATGATAGAGAAAGGAATGTCTGTATTAATTAGATGACAGAAGAGTCAAGGAGTATCATTTTGCCCCTATCATGTGCATAATAATAAAAAGATCACCTCGGCAGAGAGAGGGGGCCATCCTAACACATCCTAGCATGTCCTACCACACTCCAACAACAGAACTCAAGACCCTTCAAGCAAAAATTGATAGACATGAAAAGATACAAATAATTC